GCAGGCTGGTTTTATGGCCCCTGTTGTGCGTCTTAGACCCCCCAGGCTGAAGAGGGGCTGAGGCTGACTAATACTGACAGGGTTTATGTGGGTAGGGGTGGAGGGCAGCGATGGGGTGGAGATGCATAAAAAAAGGTACTCATGAACCAACTACTTACAAAAGAGCAGCACAAGCATCTTAAGTATTCACACACACGTTCTTGTAATTGTACTTTGTGGGGACTTTACATTGACTTCCATTAATTTCTATAGCCTAACCCTGACCCTAACCCTAAACCTAACCATTACTAGTACATGCCTAACCCTAACCCATCCACAATTCACAACTTAGGCCTAAACCTCACCCCTAACCCCCCAACGAGCCTTATCCTTATGGAGACCAGGTTTGGGTCCCAGTTGGTCCCCACATTCATTCAACCTTTATTTAGACAGGTTAATCCCAATGAGCCTCGAGGACTCATTTACAAGAGAGACCCACAATGTAGTATTTTTTTGCAAAATTGTTCCCCACAATGTAACCCGAAACAAGAACGCACACATTAATCTATGCGTCCTAACATGCCTGCTCCATTAAAGCTGATGTCTGTGGAGCTGAGGTGACTGGAGGTGGAGTGGGTGAAGTCAATGGAAAAAGCAGGAGGAGATTGGTGGGGTGGGGGCTGGGGTTATCCAAAAAAGTGAACCAATAAAACACCTGAAAATCAAATCCCATTGCTCTTATCGCGGCGCCATTTACAGACGTTATCTGTGCAGGTAATGTGGTTATAAATTCAATTTCGGCACACAGATTTCATTGTTTACTGATGCCTGCATGTTCCGGGTGCTGGAGCGCAGAAAGCTCGGGAACGCTCAATGCGTGTCGGGAAAAGTCATTTAGGCTTCCACGAGGGGATGCAAACAAGGCGAGGAAGATTGGGAGAAAAGAGTTGTGGTGCTGGGGAGAAGACCCGTCACACTCCCAAGGACACCTGACTCCAATTTCTATTTTCCATCCCATGTTTTATTTAGAAGCCATTTGGTCCCATTTGGTTCCTCATTATCAGGACTCATACCTCAACTGATGTCACTGGAGGGATGATTTTTCCAATAGATGGTCAGGCTTCTTATGTTGCTGATCATTTTGACAGCTGAAAGTGTTTAACATGTTTGGATGTGGATCTTAAAGGAAGTTTGGGTCGTAGTTAGAGATGAGACTGACACATGACGTTATTTGTACAGAAGATGAATTGAAATAACAAGAAATGCATTTTTTTTATTTGTTATTTGAAAGTTGTGGAGATGGGAAATTAGGTGCATCGTGCCTACTGGCTCTCCTTATGATTGATGGCTTTCAGGAGTAAATCGCCTCATCTACTAGGTAAAATCTTGATATAGTAGAGCTCCTCAGGCTCCCAGCTGGCTCCTTATGGCAGTAATCCATCAGTAGGGCCCAATGGGCCGAGTGGCCCTCCTGGGTAATGTTCCTATTGACAGCCTATGATGTCAAAACTCTGTCAGCGGGGGCCACAGCAGTGTGTGTTAGTGTGAGGCTCACATGCTGTCTGTCAGGAGCACAGGTCTACTAAACACACACAAACACGCTATTATTGCATTTTATTCTACCACATTTTTCAGACTATAAAGCACACCGGACTATAAGGCACATTAAGCGACATAAGTTCATTTTAACAGATTTTTGAGCGCTGTGTACCACATTAAATCGGTTCGAGGTCAGTAAGCACAACCAGAATTAATACATAAGATGCACTGGATTATAATGCTCACTGTCGATTTTTGAGAAAATTAAGGATTTTAAGTGCGCCATATAGTCTGAAAAATACGGTACTTTTACTGACCTACATTTTATTTAAAACAATAAAATATTTCTACTTAATGTTAATTTTTATAACAATACATTCAGCTACATGTTTATGTTTTTAAACATTTATAGTGTTTAAGTGGCATATTTATAATCATACTGTCAGATTTATCATTTTAGACAGATTATTTAACTTGCTTGAACATTAATTATATCTTGATATAAAAATAAAGATAAAAGGTCTACATTTTTGCTTTAATTGGTCTTTAAATCTGATTAAGTAAAAAAGTTAAAAATTTTAACCTGTCTTGGACTGACAGATTATCCTAGAACAAATTGGACTGTTTGATTGCATGAAAATAGATCTGAATTAGACCCTTTTATTGGCACCATACAAACTGACTAAATTGAAATGATGTGCCAATATTTGCCACTACATTTTAAATATCCTGATGCATGCGCAATAATCCAGGTAGAAAAATCTAAAAAAGTTAAATCTGGTCCTGTGGATATTCAGAAATTTATAAGACTTTTTTATATATATTTATAAGACTGAGCTGAATACAGCACCTCAGACTGAGGAAGTCTTTCGGATGAAAGACAAAACGTTTCTGCATTTTCATTTATTTTTTATTTGTTTTGTTTTTTGTATGTCAGAGGACCAGATTTAACTTTAAAATTTTTTAAATGTAACAACCAACAAAATAATTTTACAGTTTCTACAAACCAGATTCCAAAAAAGTTGGGACACTAAACAAATTGTGAATAAAAACTGAATGCAATAATGTGGAGATGGCAAATGTCAATATTTTATTCGTAATATAACATAGATGACAGATCAAAAGTTTAATCTGAGTAAATGTAACAATTTAAAGGAAAATATGTTGATTCAAAATTTCACAGTGTCAACAAATCCCAAAAAAGTTGGGACAAGTAGCAATAAGTGGCTGAAAAAAGGAAATTTAGCATAGAACGAACAGCTGGAAGACCAATTAACACTAATTAGGGCAATTGACAACATGATTGGGTATAAAAAGAGCTTCTCAGAGTGTCAGTGTCTCTCAGAAGCCAAGATGGTAAGAGGATCACCAGTTCCTTGTTGCGCAGAAAGATAATGCAGCAATACCAGAATGGTGTGACCCAGCGTAAAATAGCAAAGACTTTTAAGTTATCATCATCAACTGTGCATAACATCATCAAAAGATTCAGAGAATCTGGAACAATCGCTGTGCATAAGGGTCAAGGCCGTAAAACTCTACTGGATGCTCGTGATCTCCAAGCCCTTAAACGTCACTGCACCTCAAACAGGAATGCCACTGTCAAGGAAATAACAGAATGGGCTCAGGAATACTTCCAGAAAGCATTGTCAGTGAACACAATCCACCGTGCCATCCGCCGTTGCCAGCTGAAACTCTACAGTGCAAAGAGGAAGCCATTTCTAAGCAAGCTCCACAAGCTCAGACGTTTGCACTGGGCCAGGGGTCATTTAAAATGGAGTGTGGCAAAATGGAAGACTGTTCTGTGGTCAGATGAGTCACGATTTGAAGTTCTTTATGGAACACTGGGACGCCATGTCATCCGGACCAGAGAGGACAAGGATAGCCCAAGTTGTTATCAACGCTCCGTTCAGAAGCCTGCACCACTGATGGTATGGGGCTGCATGAGCGCTTGTGGCATGGGCAGCTTGCATGTCTGGAAAGGCACCATTAATGCAGAGAACTATGTTCAGGTTCTAGAACAACATATGCTCCCATCTAGACGTCATCTCTTTCAGGGAAGACCCTGCATTTTTCAACACGATAATGCCAGACCACATTCTGCAGCAATCACAACATCATGGCTACGTAGGAGAAGGATCCGGGTACTGAAATGGCCAGCCTGCAGTCCAGATCTTTCACCTATAGAGAACATTTGGCGCATCATAAAGAGGAAGGTGCGACAAAGAAGGCCCAAGATGATTGAACAGTTAGAGGCCTGTATTAGACATGAATGGGAGAGTATTCCTATTTCTAAACTTGAGAAACTGGTCTCCTCTGTCCCCAGACGTCTGTTGAGTGTTGTAAGAAGAAGGGGGGATGCCACACAGTGGTAAAAATGGACTTGTCCCAACTTTTTTGGGATTTGTTGACGCCATGAAATTTGGAAACCACAGATTTTTCTCTTAAAATTATACATTCTCTCAGTTTACACTTTTGATCTGTGATTTGTGTTTATTCTGAATAAAATATTAGATGTTGGCACCTCCACATCATTGCATTCAGTTTTTATTCACAATTTGTTTAGTGTCCCAACTTTTTTGGAATCCGGTTTGTACAACTAACACTGAGAATCACACGTCTTAATATGAAAGTTTTTGTTATTTTCATTTTGCTTTTCTGGAAATTGACTCATCTCATTAATACCCATAAAATAATGTATTTTTCCCTTCTAGGCCAGATTATTACATGTATACACCACATCATGTAAGGAACATCATAAAAAAAAAATCTTTTTTCATTTTATTGGGACATTAAAAAGCTCCAGTTGATGATTTTTACACACAGATGAGTCTATAAAATTATACAGGAGTAAAATAAGTGTTTTCTCTCTTGATTTAGATCCATTCTTTTAGATGACATATAACAGCATTTACTTACCTGACTGCGTTAACGTTGTCATTTTGAAGCTGCTCTGTGTATTTTAAACTCTGCTGTTCTTCGTTAGACATGAAACAGTGAAGTGTGGTTTCAAATCACACAATGTAAAAAGGTTTACAGTCATTTACAGTTTTATCTCCTTACACAGCACTGCATTCAGATCTGACACATCCTGACTCTGAAACTAAACCTTTTTTTTTTAGAGTTTGTGGTCTTTATTCCAAACTCTGCTCTAACTGGACGGCTGATTGGTCCAAACAGTGCAAAGCCCATGTCCATTTTTTCCTAATTTGTCTTGCTTAAGGCATTATGCAAATGTTTTCTGTGACAAAAACAATCTTGATTTAAAATCTGTAATAACGTGTTGAGAAGAAGTCAAATAAAAAAGCAGATAATGTTTTATTTATTTTCAGAAATAAATACAAGAAGAAACTGAGAATTTCTTCTCAGTGAAACTGAATATTTTTTGCGGCTCATTTCTCTTTGGCTGCAAGCTCGTGGAGAAACACGACAATGAATCTATCGTACACTTTTTGAAACCACCGTCTTTCTGTTGATCTGTGCAGGCAAAGTGAAGGGTCTGTATGACTCCCAGGCGCCAGTCTGCCCAGTCTGTCAGGCCGTCCTGCGGCCCAGTGAGCTGCAGGATCACATGGAGCAGGAGTTAGCCAAACTCGCTCAGCTGCAGATCAGGTACGCACGAACATCATCGGAATAATCTGCAAACGAATAATGATGCATTTTCATTACACCCCCCCCATTATTTTTTCTTTTTCATAAAATGATTAAAGGCTTTGCTCACAAACGTCCTAACTGCAATGCTGAGGATCTTCATCTCCTTCAAGCGTTCACTCCCTCTCTTCATTGATTCATCATTTTATTTCTGTTTTGCATCTCAGACTTTTTGTTCAGCGCTCAGAAGATAATTTATGTTGACACATTTTGTATATCTAGAGGCCCCGTCCTCTTGTTTTTCACCCCGGTGGTGCCTCCCGTCGTCTTTGTCACCTGTGTGCAGTGTTTACAAGCTGCCTCATTGTCTCCTACATATTTCATATTGCAGCCTCCGGCCTTGAGGCGACAACTCATACAGCAGGCAGATAATGTCCTTCTAATGGCTGCTTTGAGCCCTACGAGCGCGCGCGCACACACACACATGCACTTTCACGCTGTGTAAAATACAAATATAGACACACACATTACCTGCTGCTTAGACCAGAAGAATGATTCCTCCAATAAAGACATTACACTCCAAATCTGCTTAACGACCGCTCCATGGACAGTAATGGTTTCAAATTGAACTTTGCCCACGGGGACACTGTATGTGTGTGTATGTGTGTGTGTGTGTGTGTGTGTGTGTGTGTGTGTGTGTATGTGTGTGTGTGTGTGTGTGTGTAGGAGAGGTACAGTATTTGTGTGGCGTTTGTGAAAGAATAAAGCGAGACTCAAATACGAGCTCAGACAAGATAAAAGCAGCTGTAAATGTTAGCGCATCAGGCACGTGTGAGCTGTGTGACTTTCCATTTCCAGGCCATTAAATGAGTTTTTCTTCTTCTTTGTTTCTTTTAGTATCACTCCAGTGCAACATGACCACATCATGAGGACGCCGAAGGTGAGAACAGAACTGATACGTTCAGGAAAAGTCGGTAAAAGAGTTTTAGCAGTGTTTCCACTTGGTTCTGCTTCTCCTCCCCCAGTCTTTGTCCCTCTCTCTGCATATCAAACGAGAAGGAGGCTGTCCCACATCACCTCCTCAACCGTCTGAGGAGCACCACTCAGATCGATACCAGGTGCAAAAAGTAGAACGTTACTGGTTATATGTGTTCATTTTCACTGGAGCTCCTTCTCCTAAAATAGACAATAATGAAACCAAAAGCTTGTTTTAATGCTCATGTAAAATATTATTCTGGGTGTTTATGCGCATTAGTATATAATAAAACAGTTTTAGACTGCTTCAATGCAGCACCTACTGTTATCTTGTGTCCGAAATTGTTTTTACCACACCGGTGTGGGGAAAAAAGGAGCTGCTCGTTCATCAGTGATTGTTTGTTATGTTAGCCAATAGGCAGACATTAATCAAATTATGATACAAAAAAGGTACAAATAAACAGAAACAGGGAACTCAGCAACTCTTTTCTGGAGGGGATTTTTTTTTAAAGTAAGAAATGTTTGATTTGTAACTTTGAAGAATTTTTATCTTTAGAAAACGTCATTTAACCCACTGAGAAGGGAGTGAAAATCCCTTAAAAGCCCATTTAAACCCATTTAAAACTCTCAAACATCAAAGTTCATTCTCAATTATCCAGGTAAATAATCCAATAAAGTTCATTCAGGTCATCTGGATGTTTTTTTTTGTTTGTTGTTGTTTAGATGTTTTTTCCTTCATCCAAAAGATTTCATCAGTCCGAGGAGCCACATGCAAACTCAGTCCCATAAGCAGCACACTCACATTGTGGACCAACCAGTTTGATGGTGATAAGATGGTTTCTGGAGTCTGCCCTCTCCTCCGTCGACTCCTCTGAGGCAGCCATAGCCAAAGTGGCACAAAACATCAAAGTTCAAAGGACTGATGAAGTCCTTTGGATGAAGGACGAAACATCTCGACAACAAAATAAACCGTCCAGATGACCTGACTCAACATTGTTGTCCATTTAAAAAACATTCATTAGAATAATAAAGAACAGCAAAATGGGCAAATAAATAAATAAATGTTTACTTAGCTATTAATTACTTTAAAACTGCAATCTTTAAATATAAGGTCTTTTTAGTTACTTCAAATAAAATTGTTACAGTAAGTTTGAACAAACTTGTGTGAATAAAACCTCACTTCATGGAGTTAAGCTAACTTAACTACGCTTTGTTATATTGAATGTTCTAATACTCAGTTGAATAAATTTGACTGAGTTCAGTGAACTAAACAACAGTGAGCTGTACTTGGATAGTTTTGCTGCTTGTATCTAATTTATAAACAACATTTACATTCAAAACTGGATCCATCTACGGTAATCAAATAACCTATTTTTAATTAGGAAATTTAACATTCACCCACTTAGTTTTCTCACATATTTGAATTTAAATACTTTTAACAAACTTTGAGGTCAACATTTAGCACATGTACGTCACAAGTTAGTGTTTGTTTTGTTAAAAATAAAAGTTGAATTGATTCAGATAATTTTAAAACTATAACAATGTGCTTCCAAATGTTAGGCTTAGTGGTTATGGAGGATTTTCTGCAAAAGCAGCCCCAAGTAGAGATGCTCAAAAGATGCTGTGAAAAACTCCGAAAAAACTGCGATGGAGCTTTAGGGCCACGCTAAGGAAAGAAAATTACATTGCCACGCTAAGAATTTTTTTTTTTTTAAAGCCAAGTCGTAAAATACTTTTTTTTGCAGCTCTCATTTATTTATTTATTTTTTTCCCACGAGTCGGGTCCATGACACGACCTGTCAATCCATCCATAAGGCGCGTCAGCAAATGACCAATCTGAAGCTAAATGCTCCTTACCTGCAGAGAGCTGCTGCAGCCCATCTGAGCGTACCATCTTACTGTAAACAGGTTCAACATCCTGAAACTGATAATAATCTGATGCTGATGTGCTAACGGATTAACTATCTCCTTATTTGTAAAACCAATACCAAAGTGTAACTTAACAAGATTTTCAGCATTCTTTGTTTTACCAGTTAAAATGGTGAACTCTGCTTCATCATGTCGGAGTTTGGATAATATTACGACTCATTTAGCTTCGGATTGGTCATTTGCTGACACGCCAACTGGACTGATTGACAGGTCGCGTTGTGGATCCGACTCGTGGAAAAAATAAAAAATAAACGAGAGCTGTAAAAAAAAAAAAAAAGTCTTGTACGACTTTATTCTCGAAATATTAAGACTTTATTTGACTTTATTCTCATAATTTTATTGCTTAATTATTATTATTTTTTTGTCTTAGCATGGCCCTAAAGCTCCATCGTAAAAGACATGAGTTTAAAGTCTGCTTCATAAAAATAATGAAACCTCTTCTAATTGTATTTGTTTCAGACATTTCTCCGAGTGCGGGCCAACAGACACACGAGACTAAACGGTACGTAGGGGTCTGAAAGTTGTTGCTTTGCTTCAGTCGGGAACGCAGAACGGCTTTAAAGTTAAAACTTAAAAAGTTTTCTTTGGTTCGCACTCATGAGCCCAGTCATGTGTTTAGTCCCTCCACCCCCACTCCCCTCACGAGTCATGAAGATATCGCCCTCTTTTTTTCCCCCCACACCATCTCCACCGGCCTAGCGCCCACACGAGCAGAGGAGCCATTAACCTTTCAACTTTGACCTCTTGATATGTTAACAGTCGATGACCTCTGCTGGTGCAGGTGCTACGTCAAATCTGCCCTACTGCGCCCACACAGCGCAGGAGCCCACCTAGACTGCACACAAACTGGTAAGAAACACTGAGAAGCTCTTTTGTTGCTTTCTGTAATTTTATGTAATTATTGGTACAAGAGAAAAATCCTTTTTGTTCTGATTTACTTTTAGATAAAACAACTAAAATCCTCAGTTGGGAGAGCTTTAATTAGATTTTTTTGTCTTAGTTCTGAAAATACTTTAAGAATACAACACAGTACGACAACATTATCATCTCATCAGATACTTTTAATTTGCCTTGTGTATGTGTATATACGAGAAATATGAAGCCACAGCTTTATTGCTCAGTGGTAAGCCTCACTAGGATAGCAAATCATAAAAAAACATCTTTATTTGATGCTAACTGTTCCCTGAAATCACTGACATTTACAGACTTACAGGTAAAAACTTCATCTGTGATGATCGAGTGAAACCTGTGGTGGCAGTGTAAAAGGCTGCTAAGATTTTTTTTAACTATCTAATTAATAGCATTGATAGCAATACAGTAGTCTCTCATTTATTGCTGGGTTATGTCCCCCCCCACCCACAATAATTGAAAATCTATAAAGTAGTGACGTTGTATTTATTTTACTACTAATATGTACAGTATTTTAAGTCTTTATAAACCCTTCTCACACTCTTGCAATGTTCTAAACTCTTAAATCTACGTCATTTTAACAACATACTTATATGTAGCTACTAAATTTTACTCGCTAGCTCAGCAGAACAGCAGTGGCTTGGTTCCACTCCAACATGGTTCCGTTTCCGCGGACATAGCCGGTTCTGGTTGGCATTCTGGATCGGGATAGTGGCGGTGGGCTCCAGAGAAGCCGGACTTGCAGCAGCACGTCCCCCACTCAGAAGTCCTTGTGGGCCAGCTAGCAGCTCTCAGGTTCACAGATGAGTCCAGTGATCTGGTTTTGCTCCGGTTCTTGGTTCGGTGGGTTCTGTGTGGCTCTCTGCATCCGCTGGGCGCCGAAGTCACTGTAATATGCACCAAACTTTTTCCTATCAGATCAGAACTTCCCCTCTAGTATTTCAGCAGAAGAATACAGGGCTTCTGGGCAAGGCACTGTTGGCTTCTGGGAAATGTAGTCGTTATAAGCGGGGATACAGTATAGGCGTATTGAGAGAAAACTGCAAAATGGCGGCACCTGTCCGAAGTACATTATTTTATTTTTTCATTAACTTTTTATTGTACAGTATCCCGTACTGTCCCAATCATGTGAGTAATATTAAGGTTGACAATCACGTGCCATGTACACATTTTTTTTCGTGTACAGACTTACCTTGAAAAACTGTGAAAGAGTGAGTCCGTGAAAGTCAAACCGTGAAGTAGCGAGGGACTATTGTAATACTAATCTATGCTTGCTAAATGAAAGGTGTTTGTGATAATGTAACTGTCTTAATGTGTTTGTCTGTTAGCAAAATATTTCAATTGCCACTGGGTGGATTTTAATGAAACTCCCAGAAATTGATTGTTGGATGTAAATGTACAACTCTTTACCTTTTTGAGTTAACCCAATTCAGGATGGCCGCCATAGCTAATCAGCCTAAGCAAACACAAAAATGGCTCTAAGTCAGTCAATTTTACAGAAGATACCAAACAAATCTTTGGTGTAGTTAATGGTGAAAGTCTCTCAAACACAAAGTCTGAGGACTAAAAAGATTGTGCAAAACGTTTATTATAAAAATTGTTATATTTGCTGTTGGAGTCAATCCTGCCTGTCTGTTAGCAAAATATCTCATGAACTGCTGGACAGATTCTAACCAAACTCTCAACAAATCATAAAAGGGTACACATTTAGAGCTGAATGACTTTTAGAGTGAATCTGATTCAAGATGACCACCATAGCTAATCAACCTTAGACAACTTAGAAATAACTATATCTCAGCTCTTTTGACAGACAGTGAGCTGAAATGCCATGTGGTAGTAGCTGAAAGTCATCCCTAACACATACTCTGAGTAGTAACAAATGACTTTAGAATCTTTGTTTTAAGAATGATAGTTTCATTTATTATTTAGTGGTTTGAGTAAGTTCCTCCTCTATGAGTGAGCTGAACGTTTACCTGCACAGAGATCTTCTGGTTAGTAATCAGCTCAGGCCTGATGCCGACACGAGGACCGCCGCAGCCTCCTGACACTAACTCACATTACAAACTTCTTATTATTTCCACGGCGATGCTCCGACTCTTCGCTGACTCCTCAGACTGCAGCTGCTGTCGAGGTCTGTTAGCCTTTATTGGCTCTTCTAACAGGACAGCATAATGAGCTTCTAAATACACGTCGGGGAGGGGAAAAAAGAAGGAAGTGGAGAAGAGTCGCTCTTCTGCTGATTAATCAACCTCCCTCTCTCTTTCTCTCTTTGTTTGATGAGCTCTTCTTCATCTGTGACCGTCTCCTTAACCCTCATTATGGCTGCTGGGACGGCAGCGCTCGGGTCACAGCCACCAGCTCTCTCTGTGGCCCGTCCTGCTCCCCTGTCATCGAGCTCGAATTAGAGGGCCCTAAAACTTAATGTCCCCTTATACAATCTGCAGTCAGTCAGGTCACAGAGGGAGAGGAGGCGCTGTTGGTGTTCTGCCGTGTTAACTTTAATATTTCCAGCGAGGACGGTGTGGGAGGACGCTGAGATGACAGAAAGGAGATGGGAGGAAGGTTTTGCGGTCACAGCTGAATGAATTATGCAGGTCCTTTTGAATCCGTTTGTCTTTAAGGCTCTGCGTGATCAATTTGCACATTTAATAAAATGATGTGCAAGTCTTTCAGCACGGCATCAGAATTTACCAACATTTATTTTGTTTGGTAAAAAGAGCTGAAAACCCCTCAATATTCCAGCTGCACCTTCAGAGCTTTAACCTTCTTGTTGTGTATTGGGTGGGAAAATCTGCTTTTAGTTCAGCTTCTTTAGTTTAAAGACAAACTTTCATTCAACAAATTTGATTGAAACTGGTAACTTTTGTGCTTGACAGGTTTTTATTATAGATTGATGGAAATTTTTCAACCTGCTGGTAAATCTGTGTAAACTACCCCTCAGATTTAAGCAGTTTAAGTTGCATCTTGACATGCTCCTGTTAAAATAAAAAGCACATTTTTGTTGCCCACTGCTGAAGGCAAAGGCGACAAATAATATTTTTGCGCGTGTGTGCTTGTTTGTCGATGCTGTTAGCAAAATATATCCCGAATCACGGATCGTATTTTAACAAAATTGTTACTAAACATCACTCAGTTTACATCGGCTACGGATTAATTTTTGGAGTCAGCTCAATTCAAAATGGCCGCCATAGCAAAGCAATCTTTGCACACTGTATAATGTCTATAACTCAGCCATATTTATCGATATTGAAATAAAATCTACATTTGTAGCATCTTCTCCAACACATACTTTGAGCACAACATCCCTTAACTGTTGAAGTCAACCTTGTTTGTTTGTTAGCAAAATATCTCATGAAACCCTCAGAAAGTAATCTTTGGTTGTACTTCTACTGATTAACTTTTGAAGTTGATTTAATATAAAATGGCCACCACAGCTAATCGACCTTATTCTACACAAAAATATCTGTAACTCAGTGACTTTTCCAGCTATTGAGCTCAAATGTGGTGTGGTGGTGGCTAAGAATTGTCATAACAAGAACTCGCAATCACGCTAGATCAAGCTCACAATTCCAGTCTCTCTTGTAAATCAGTCTCCAAACAATGAAACATTTTAAGATCTTTTATGTATTCTGAGTTTAAATATTTTGCACATTTAAAAATATTTAAAGAAATCTAAAATATTTACCTACATTTATTTTTAGTTTTTGTGGTACAGTAGTCTCTCGTTTATCGCGAGGGTTACGTTCCAGACACCACCGTGATAGGTGAAAAACTGCAAAGTAGGAACGTCATATTTATTTTAGTATTTTTATATATTTTAAGACGTTATGAACCCTTTCCACACTCTTGCAATGTTCTTAATGTTTTAAACTCTTAAACCTTTAAAAAAAAAAAAAAAGGGAACATTTGATATGGTACTCACCAGCTCTGCAGACCAGCAGCTCGGTTCTGGTCCGGCTTGTTTCCGGTTCAGCAGAGCTACCCTGCTGTGACGAAGCCCACCGCCCCGTCCAGGTTGATGTGCGCGTGGACAATTGAGCTTCACGATTATTTGCTACTTTCCTGCTAGTTCTATGAGATTGATAGATACTGTAGATCGTTACTTCTGACGTTGCGTTGCAAAACTTTCCCTCCATTTCAGCAGAAAGCAGCGGCCAGAGCTTGATGGAAGTTGACAATCGTGTGTCGTGTACAATCTTACAATGAAAAGCCGCGAAAGAGCAAATCCGCGAAAGTCAAACTGCGAAGTAGCGAGGGACTACTCTACTTTTACTTTTATGTAGGTAAAAAAATACAACTAAACCTATTTTTGTATATTTTTTCAAGAAGACATTGTAATGACATATTAGTTGCTAGTTTTATGATAGTTTCTTCTTCTTTTCCCTCTTCAGGGGTCTCCACAGCGAGCCATCCTCCTCCATCTCACTCTGTCCTCTGCATCCTCTGTCCTCACTCCAACTACCTCCATGTCCTCTCTAACTGCATCCATATATCTCCTCTTTGTCTGTTTCCTGACAGCTGCATTTCTAACATCCTTCTACCAATATACCCACTGTCCCTCCTCTGGACATGTCCATGTCCATTTTTACGATAGTTTGGTTGCAGAAAACAAGGTTTAGTCATCTTTTGATTAACGTTATAGCACTGGTTCAAAATTGTAATCTGTTTCCCTTCACGCTAAACGTATATAGTTTCTTGTACTTTGTATGAAGTTGTGAATACTGTACAATAAAACTAAAAATAACTAAAAATATTAAGTAAATAAAACCTGACGGTTTGTCCTCATGTTAAATAAAGAAACAACGCAAAGGTTTTGCATATTTCTGCAACATGCAACGAAACTAGTGGAGCAATTTGATTTGAATATCTAATTAAAACGTCTATCTTGAACTCAAAAAACATTAATTGTTACAGATGTTTTGTACGACCTTCCCATCAGTAAATCCCTTGTCTTTGACCATACATTTCTTTCTTTTTTTTCCTTCTAACCGTTTTATCGTCTTGTCATCTTTTATGTCGTCCATCTGTTTCCAGTCAGGATCGGAAAGCTGAAGAGGAGAAAACCAGAAGATCTGCAGGTATGCATTCTATTATTTTCTTTGCATAAAAACAAAGAAAAATCATTAGTTTTGCTGACATTTGTTACTGAAGTTGAAGATTCACACATGTAACCTGCAGCAGGCCGATCTGAGATCGAGAGAACGGCCACGTTTTAACACAGAGACGTTGTTGACTGGCTTTGTTCGCGTGGCATCAGGATCACTGTCAGTTTGCTGTGTGTCCATGTGAAAACTGCTGGTTCACTGCCATGAAAACACAGAGGCAGATACGCAGCTTCAGGCTGTGACAGGCGCATTCATCGTGTCTGTGTGTGTGTTTCCAGGAGGGTTCGGCAGACTTGGTGCCACTGGAGGACGAGTGGAATGAGAGGAGACGGATACAGATGACATCTGTAGGGTTTAAAGGTAAGAATAAATATATGTGTGTGTGCACTGTGCTGCTGAGGTGTGTGTGATTTTTTTTTTTTTTTTGACTGGAGGGTGAGTAATGTGACTGAGTGGCAGCTGAAATAAACCATTGAACTTTTCAGTCCAGATTACAGAACAAGATGCCCTGCAGGTTTGTTTGAAACGAGCAGCTTCTTTAACCAGAAAGAAAAGCTGTGACCTGCGAACCTGCTGCAAGCTGCCTGGCAGAAAGACCTGCAACAAACCCCTCTTATTTCTGAAGGAAATTACAACAGATCCCTCTAATTGTGTATTTAGAAATAATTAAAAGGATTCTTGTACAAACGTTTAAGATGAATTAAAAATGAAATGTTTTTGTCAGGTGCAGCATTGGGAAGCATAACTTCTAAAGAGTGTCGGGACAGCGACGCTGACCTTGATGTTGACGGAGACGACACGCTGGAGTACGGCCGAGCGCAGTATCCTTTACACGTCATGCAAGATTGACGCTGAACAGCTGATCATGTTGTTTGGGTGTACAGAGAAGAATCAGCTGCAAAGTGAATGAACAAAAAAAATATATATATATCAGCAAGACACCAGTAAAGGTCTGAATGTTTCCTACTCTGTGTTTGCATGGGGGCTTGATTTCATGAAGCAACTAGAAATTGCATTTCTTGCAAAAACTGTAGTGTGATTGCTTACTGCAGAAGAACTTGTTGAAAAAATAGCTGAAATTAACTAAAAACCTCTGAAATGTAGCTGAAATGAAATAACAAGCCTTAATTAGCAGAAAAAAAGCAGAAAGAACACATATTTGCTGAATTAGGTTTAAATAAGCAGAAATTAGCACAAAAATTAGGAGATCAGCTAAAAAGGTTGAACTTAGCAAACAAAAAACAAAACAGCTGAAAAGTAGCTGAAATGGCAGAAAGAAGCTTAACCTACCAGAAGGAAGTGGAAAGAGCTGAAATTAGCTAAAAAAGTGGAATTGGCTGAAAAAGCTAAAATTTGCATAAAACAGCTAAATGTTAGCTGAAATAGCAGATTAAGCTGAAACTAGCAGAAAAAAGCAGAAAGGAGCATAAAAAGCTGAAATTATCAGAAAGAAGATAATTAGGCTGAAAGTAGCAGAAATTTTAAAAAAAAAAAACTAAAAAACTTGAATTTTTTTGAAAACGACTGAAATTAGCTTTAAAAATCTAAAAAGGTAGCTAACAAGCTTGAACACGCTTATATTAGCAGAAGAAAGCAGAAAGAACGTGTTTGCTGAAAGAAGCAGAAATTAGCACAAAAAAGTGGAAATTATCTGAAAAAAGCTGAAATTCGCAAAAAAACCAGTTGAAAAGTACTGGTAGCTAAAATGCAGAAAGAAGCTGAAATTACAAGAAGAAAGTGAAAAGAGCACATTTTTTTTGCTGAATTAGGCTGAAAAATGTTGAAATGATTGCAAAAAATGTGGACTTAGCTGAAAAGGCTTAAATTGGCATAAAAACAGCTGAAATAGTAGAAAAAGCTGAATCTTGCAGAAACAAGCTGAAATTAGCAGCAAGAGGTTGGAAAAGGAGCACAGAATAGCTGAAATTTGCTGAAAATAGTTGAATTTCTTTTAAATTTGCACAAGGAAGCTGAAGCAGAACAAAATGTGAAAGGAGCAGTAAAAGGTTGAAAACAGATCTAAAGATATGAAGGATGTAAAATGAGCTCAATTCAGTTTCTATGAGGAAAAAGTGACAGAAAAGGCTAAATATTTCAAAAAGCTAAACTTGCACCAATACCAAAAGTCATAGCAGGATTGTCCTGAAAGAGCTGAACGTTTTGATCTATGATTTGTTGAAATATCTTGAAAACTGCGGGACGAGAAACGCACTGAAAAATGTATGAAAAAAAAAAGGGATCATAATGGTGAGAATGCTTCATAAACATTCACACAATAAATGGAGTCTCGGCTGTTAGGGACGGATGTTTTGTGAAACAGTAAAATGTTTCTCTTTAAAAGATTGACACAGACTTTAAAGATTGAGTAAACGCAGTGGTTGGAACTTCAACCTGGAAATGACATCGTTACTTTCCATCAGTACGATTTTCACAAACACAAAGTATCTTATCTAAGATCAGTAGAGCTAAAACTTTTCTACAGTCTGAGCTCGTTTTAATTCGTCATAACACAGAGAAGCATCTTTATTTCTAATGTGCAATGCTTTTAAATATTTAACATACAAAGCTAATTTTTTAAAATAATAAATTGTGTACCTTTAAATAAGACACATTTCAAAGGTAAAATACACGATGAGATCTTTCTTTGACTAATACTTATAGCTACATCTGTCCTGGATATTTTCAACTTTCAATATAAATGTTTTTTATTTTTCCTTTTTTAAATAAATTTATGTTTTTGTTTTTATGTGCTAAAAGTGGGATACCTCCTGATGTCTATGCCAGGATGGTTTGTCAATAGAAGACGTTTGTTCATGAGACTTGTTGGTTCTTTATTTTGTTCTAATAAATCTAAAAATCTAAAATGCATTTAGGACTAATTTAGCTATAACTTTTAACATGAGCCCTGCTTTAAAAATCAAAAGTAAGGTGAATTTTTTTTTCTTGTAAGAAAAACATCCTTGTTGGGTGGACTTGTGTTTTTCCCCTGACTTTAGCGCACAGATACTCAGAGACGGATGTAATCCCGTGTTCAGGAGAAAGCTCCAAGGTGTCAGCAGTGAAGTATGTAACCCACGCAGTGACATCCGCCTCACGTTAGAACATTTATTCATGATCTGCCTATACAAATTCATGTAATTCTCTGTCATGCGTATGTATTTTTTTCTGCATATTGTTGTGGCTTTTTAAAGTGTGGATGTGTTGTATCTCAGCAGCAGCTTGGTGCCTGATTCCAGACTTCACTTTGACTTTTCAAAACTGTCGAACGATGGTGAGTTCAGCCAAGTCCGAAGAAATAAATAACCATAAATGAACCACTGCATGCAAAACAATTTCAGTGCTGTGCTTTTAACCGTTTTTTATTGTTTATCCGTTTATTTTTCTTCAGGGAGTCCATCAACAAGCAGTGCAGAGAAACAAGCTGGCAGCACAGCCTGTCTCCCAAAAACCTGCAAAAACACCGAGATCGAGACGTAAGTTCAAGACTTCTGAGCAGATAATCACATCTAGTGGAAAATTATCCCAACTTTTTTATCTTATGCTGTGTTTAGATTATACTGGTTTCCCCAAAGCTAACAGGAAGTTAATATTTAATATGATAAATGTACATTATTAATTTCTTTAAAGAGGTTTATGTCCTTTTGCTGAGCTAAATGAAAAATATTTGACAGCTAGAGACAACCTTACTGTTCACTAATCACAGAGATGGTAACAGGAAGTGCCCCTCTCTCCAGCTTGCACAGCAGGTTTCAGGTGAGAATGAGACGATCAGAGCTGAGGACGTGTAACCGTTGCCTCTGTGAAACGTATTTTGCCGGTTTTGGTCAGTTCAGACTTCTGCTCCCATCGCCTCGATATAAAACACCACATCAGTGCGAGGATCTCATAAATCAGGCTCCTAGCAGGCGATGCACACGTTTCATCATACTGCTCTACAGCACTGTATGTTTGCTCATACAGTCTGTCCTGAAACTGTGTGTCTGTGTGTGCGTGTCCCCACTCCACCACCGCCACCCCAACAACTCAGCCCCTGTCTTCCACCTATGATAAATGAGACAGCCAATGCAGGCAATGTGATTGCTGCTAAATTTCATGCTCAGTATCCATGTTGGCCAGCGAATAATTTAATCTGTCTTCAATTTATAAATGACTCTCCAGCGTCTGCGTAACTCACTCGGCTTCCCTCTGCCCTCCTGTTAACTGTGCATCATTTGGCTGTGTGTGTGTGTGTGTGTGTGTGTGCAGGCTTTCAGAGGATTCCACGTTGACAACGCTGGACGCACTTAAAGCTCGGATACGAGATTTGGAGAAACAGCTGTCTAAAGGAGACAGATTTAAATGCCTCATCTGCATGGTGAGTATGAAGTCATCAGAGCAGAGCGCGCGCAGAAAGGCCAAGAAATTACTGTTGGGACCTGAGTTTTGGGCAATAAATCACAATTATTAGTCCTGACTCCTTCACGGAAACAGAAATATGACTTGAATTTTGTTTAAAACTATTGTCATCCGGTGGTTTAGTTTTGTATTTGTCACCTGCTTTTAAATGAGGAACTTTTAAGAAATATTAGAACGTTGGAAAAAAACAGATCTTTACTTGTTTTTGTCCATATAATTGAATTTATTTTAAGGCAGCTTGAATTGATCCACAAGAATTTTACTTGAAAGTTTTTAATCATCATAGTAACTTAAAACTCAACAACAAATAAACTCGGGTATCTAAAACAATATATAATTTGGAAAAAGCAGCACCTTAAAAACTTTTTCATAAAAGAACAATACTTTTTAAATGTACTGTATGTGTGTGTGTGTATATATATATATATATATATATATATATATATATATATATATATATATATATATATATATATATATATATATATATATATATATATAAACATTTTAGGCACATTTATGTACATTTTTTTTACGTATTGAGTTTTGTATTCTGCCACATCTCAGAAAAAATAAAAAAAAAATTCTACCTTTTACTCTTCAGCATGAAACTTTCTTGACTTTTATTACCTTTAGAATATTGTCTTTTTCTTTTCTTTATTTCTTTTTTTATTTTTGCAAACCTAAATTATGAATAAAACATCCCATGATACGTAATTTTTATTTAGTTGTTTTTCGGTGGGGGCAGGGGGAAGTCATCCATAAATAAAACAACTAAATTTACTGTATTCCCATTGACAAGACAGTTTAGTTTTTCTGAATTACCAACAGGCCAATCACTCCTCTGTCATCCTTATAACCTTTTAAAACAAATGATTCAACCAAAATACATGTCTAAAGCACTTTTTGTACCGCAGTGTTTAACAAAATGTTTTTATGACTGAAAAAAATCCACAATTCTAAAGAGATATATATAATTTATGATGTAAATGGTTAAAATTAGCTCCACATCAAGTAACCTATTTTTACAATAAAGCATGAGAACTTAGCTGATTGGTTTATTTTTTTTAACTATTATGAAGATTATTATTTTAGTTTTTTAAATAATACTCATGGAACACTTCAGGACTTGATTTTCAACTCAGAAGAGCTCAACCAAACATTTCACAAAGTAACAAAGGGAAACAGTTTTTATACATTAAAACAGAATACTGTGGTATTATAATTTAATACATGATCCTATCCTTTGTGGACTGATGGTGACAACAATGATGATTGAGTGATGTCTCCTGAGTGCAAAAACTGAACTAGGTTTGATAAATATGGACTTTTGTAATATTTACTGTTTAAAAATGACACTAAAACTTGAATTAACCAGCTATTAAAACTAAGGGTTAGAGAGAAACAATGACAAACAGAATATTTGTTTCTATAAATAAAAGTATTTCTTGAAGGAATGCATACAACTCACTGCGTTGGACTCCAAAAGTATTTTTAATTAAAAGTTTTGTGTAACCTTTTATCACTCTTGGTCCGTGGTGATGACAGCTGAGATACAAAATCACTACATTTTAGCTTAAGATCTGTAAAACTAACACACATACACTCACAGGCAATTATCACCAGCAAAGAGACAGGAGATACTGATTCCTGATATAATGTTATGGTAGTTGGACATGGACATCTAGTGTCAGCCTGTGGTACTACTGGGTTCACTGTGTTTCTGTCTGCAGGACACGTACACCACTCCGCTCACCTCCATCCAGTGCTGGCACGTTCACTGTGAGGAGTGTTGGCTGCGAACGCTGGTAAATCCTCTCACTCATCCTGAGGCACATCAACATAAAGATGACCTCTCTAAAACATGTTTCTTCTTCTTTTTTTTAGGGAGCAAAGAAGTTGTGTCCACAGTGCAACACCATCACCTCACCTGGAGACCTGAGGCGGGTCTACCTCTAACTCATCCACTCGTATTGGGAGGAGAAAAGGGGATTTCTACTGTTTCATCCAATCAGAGGTGGACCTGTGGGCAGCTGGTCTGTTATCCACTCCCACCTTCACGTCATCACAGGTTTCCGGTCCTACGTTTGTCAGCAGAGACTCCCAACATCCTCTAACCTCTGAGAACTTGAGGAGCAGAACAAATGACCTCCGACCTGTGGTGCACATTCCTGCCAGATCAAAGGAAACGACTCAAAGCTCAGGCCCTAAAAAATTAAATACCAATAAAAAAGAAAGAAATGCTTTTGGGACAGTGTTTATCATTTTTATACATTCATTTTTTTCCTGATTTATAGGGAGAAATTGTTGAATTCTGAACTGCAAAGCACATGTACAAAGTTTAGTGTATGTAATATTTATGTTTGTATGGAGTGATGTGTAAGATGTTGACTAGCACAACAACCTGCCTGTATTTACTGTACAAACGATGTCTCTGCTTAGATTATTTCTTATTCGTTTTAGCTGCTTTAGGTTGAAAATATTTTCTGTAACCTCATCGATGTGTGCTGCAGTTTGTCTTTGTCACTGATGCATTTCTTTGTATCTCTTTATCAAATCTACTTTTTAACCAACATTACTACAATAAAACACATCTAAAGCTTGTTGTTATGAACCTTTTGAGTGTGCTATAAAGTGTCAAATGTGTGAAGTGGGGACACGAAGGCACAGCAAGTGTTCCTCAGTGTTTATCAGTCATCTTCACTGCCTTGTTGGGTGGCTCTGAGGAGTAGCCACGCTTTAAAAAGTGGGTCATGACAGGATTAGGCAGGCAGAGCAGAGCCTCAACTGCAGGTGAGACTTTAAACCTGGCTATTCTGAGCTTTTTCTAAATGACCACTCAGGCTGACATTTAGGGTTTGAGCTCAAAAGAGAATGAGAAATGGTGAAAATTAGGATATATTTACCCTCGCTCACTTTTTAAACTTTACCCAAGGGATAAAGTGGAGATAGAAGAGTGTTTGGTTTTAAAATAAAGTTTTCAAACCACGAAAGGCTCTTGAATGCAGCTTCTTTGTGGCCTGCAGACCATGTGTGTATGTTGGCGTCTTACACAGAAACTTTGATAGTCATATGTTCATAACCCTCGTTCTTCAAGCAAGCCATTAGTTTGATTTAAAAGCCTCAATCCGAGATTAAATAAAAGCCTGCTTCATCAGAATAAAACAGTTAATCTAAACAGTAAAATGATCATTTGTTAAAGAAAACGATCCTCTCTTGAGCTGAGCACAACAGGCATGCATGCACAGATGAGATTGGTCATTGAGCTAAACGGAAGAAGGGGTAATTCAGACTGACAGAGGTTTAATGTGACACACAAACGCACACACACACTTGGAGCGCACGCAGTGTATTAAGGAGCCTCACAGAAGAATCACTTGATCCTGGACGTCTCTGCAGCAAAGATACAATTAAAGGTGGGTTTTTTTTTTTTTTTTTTTAACTCATCTTTTCAACTTTGGGATAGTACCTAAGAATTGTCTTATTTAAACCTTTTTTATAATGATGGTAGAGTTAAAATTTAAGAAAGCGGTTAATTTGGGTCTTTATTTGTGACATCAGACACTATTAAACCACTTAGTTCCAGAATTGCGCCGCTCACGGTGGCTGCATGTTGGAGTAGCTCTCTTAAATTCATTCTGTGATTTTGCTTTTGAAAACTTTAATTACTCTTTTTTTGGATGTAAATCTTTTTTTCGGCTGATGACTTCCTCTGGTATCCGATGCTGTGCCACTGGAAGGATTTTTACTGAAAGCTTTTTTTTATTTTATTTTTTACTTTTGGACATTTGTTATGATGCGTAACCATAAGGTGGTTTTCTACAACTGGGAGCAGCTGATTAACATCTCAAAAGCTCAAATAAGACCTCAGCTACAGCCCCAAATCCCAAATGAGTTGAAAATGAGGTGCCGTGGATGCATTACTGTCTACCTGAAGATGGTGCTCGAGGGACTGACTGCCGAGATCTTGGAGGTGGAGAGAAACGCGACTCGTGACAGCAGAAGGACCGAGATTGTCCCCTGGCAGCTGCAGTTAAGTCCACGGCGACAAGGGGCTCTGCTGGGAGAAATGGCCAACGCTCGGGGAGGAGTTTTGCCCCACATTCAGGCAGTCTTGTTGCCCAAGAGGATAGAGAGGTCTGCTGGGTCTGGGTGGGCAGATCAGCATCTGCAGCCAATTGCCCAAATGCCCAAAGCCATCAGCATCTAGAACAACTCTAATGAAACCAAGATGAGCTACAACAACAATTAATTTCCCTTTGGGATTAATAAAGCATTTTTGAATTTAATTGAATTGTATTGCATTGTGCATATACTGTTACAGTTAAAGTTTCTGCACCAAAACATTTGAGAAACAATTGTTTAAAATCAAAGTTTAAAGCAGGCAATTATTTTTAAAAAAACAACATAATGATAAGTAACAAGTTACAGCTAACATAAATAAATAGTTGTGAAGAGCACAATATTCTAACAGTATTCTTACCATGTTCAGGCCTCCTTAATTAATAAATACTAGTTTTTGCGGCTCATGAATAATTACATAGCTATTGACCAATAGAGACTCTGGTGTAATTAAATTGTTTGAGTGTCTGGAAACCTCATCCTCTCTATAGGTAGCAGGAGGTAAATGGGCCACCTGCCCAGGACCTCGTCTGCTGCCCAGTCCAGATTTAATTAATCCTGCTGACTGACCCATCATGATTTCGTTGACGGGGTTTCTAACATTAAATCCACAGTCTCCACCTGTCTGACAAGTCACATCTTTTCTGTGTTTCATTGACAAATTAGTGGAGATTAAAATTCCAGTATTTTAGAAGCTGTAGATTGTATTTTTTAATTTTATGTGAAATGTTGGAGTGCTTCCTCCCGACAGTGCGGTGGATCAAAGGATTAAGCTTACTCCACCTCAGGCCAGCTAACAGGATAGATGAGCCCCAACGCTGCAGTGATAGAGATCAAAACATGCGGTTTGCTAAAATTAAATATCTGTGAGTCATCCCAGAAGTAGCTGCCAAAGCCACGGTCACACTTCTCTAACAAACAATTTGATTTTCATCCATCGTACTTCTGTCCACTTTGATCTTATTCCTTCTGTTTCTTAGAACAATGTCAGGACCGAGGCCGGTGGTGCTGAGCGGCCCCTCTGGAGCTGGGAAGAGCACGCTGCTCAAGAGGCTGATGAAGGATCACGAGGGAGTCTTTGGATTCAGTGTGTCACGTATGTTTGTGTGCCAGTTTATGATTAGCTTCCATAATATCCTCACCTGAGGAGGAACTACACAATGTTTAATTCAGCTCAGGCCAGCAGGTTTTTTTTCTTTTACACCTGGCCTGCTGTTTGCAGAATTCTTTACTCTTAACAGGTTTTTAACAATGATGTATTTTTCTCAGACACAACGAGAAACCCTCGGCCAGGAGAGGAGGATGGCAAAGGTACGGTATTGGCTCAAGACTTGGCCCTTGGTGACACTTTTAGTGATTGCAAAAGCCAGGGGCTGATGTTTTAGCACCTTTATGCTTTCTTAGGATCACCTTGCTCTGTGAAACAACATATCAAAAGCATGGAATTGGATTTAAACCTGAACAAGTGTGATAAATTACTCTCTTTAATAATAATAATAATAAAAAAATTAAGCACCAAGAAGGATTGGGAATAGATTAGTCCACAAGGTCAACCAAAGATGAATGTGTAAATGATTTGATTTAAAAGGAGCTGACACCCCCAGAACAGGCACCAGAGAGAAGAAGTGGTAGTTTCACAAGTGGAGCAATAGTGTTATCAGGCTGTTGCCAAATGGTCCCACAGTCATTCAAAACATTGAGTGATGGTTATCAGACACAAAGGATGCTCAGTAGATGCATTCGACTGCCTTACCAGCACTTGGCATAGATTGATAAGGGTAGCATTGTGGATTTGTGTGAGGCTAGGTTTTTTTAATTTTTTTTTTACAACTATCTGGAATGTTGGGTTTACAGTTGTCACAAACGGCCTGATGTTGAAACCAATTAGTACATGAGGACATCCACACATCCTGTGTTTTGGTCACCCAAGAAGCCCACACTAAGGCAAGATTGTCATTTAGTGTACAAAGCATTACAGAAGCCTATGACATCTGTGCCAGCTTTCCAAATCATAGGACGCTTCAGTCATTCTGCATTGTGGTTCAATGAGTGGTATCAGGACTACAAGAACACCTTCCTGGGTTTTGGCTCCCATATACACCAGGGCAAGTACAGCTGCATTTGAAATGATTCTGTGATTGTGAGAAACAAGTTTTTGACAAGTCTGAGATTGATGTTGAGTCTGCCTTTCCTCCGATGACCATTGTGCATGTATATGGCGGTGCTGAGGAGAGAAGGCTAATCCTGCCAGTGTTAAAGTATTACACATCAGCAAGTCTTCTGGCATCATGATGTGAGGAATCATAAGGTCTGATTTTCAGAGGACCCTGACCCTCTGTCTGTATGTCCTACCCATCCTGAGATAGCACCATGTCCTGTTTTCAACAAGACAGCACCCTTCTACATGACACTTGTGTCTATGGACTGCCTGTATCATGTTGAGGTCCTCCCATGGCCAGTCCAGTCCTCTGATCTTCCCTAATAGAACATGATTGGGGCAGCTCAGACTTTAACTCCAGCTTAGTGTTGATCTTCAGGATCTAGAAGGCCAGGTGCAACCGTTTCAGGACAGAATACAATGACTATTCTTCAGTTGTCACATGTATGTATGCCTGAGGAAAAACGACTTCTGACATCGGATCAGCAATGTTCCCAGACACATAACTTACATTACATTACATGTTCATTACATGAACATTATCATTCAATCTGATATTGTAATCTATCCATCTGGGTGCTTAATGTTTTTTGTCAGGTCACTCACTGCCACATTGTCAGCCTTCCATATCTGCCCATTCCACAAGAAAGCCACACTTCTTACTCCTAAGTGAACTGCTCAAATAGTTTTGTCATTTTGTGTTATTCCCTTCTTTTAAAGGGATAAATCTCTTTCTGTGCCTTTTTTGCTCTCTCTTTGTAGGGCTGAACAAGCTCCCTATGCTTCTGGGGGCTACTTTGCTACCCGTAGCAGACGTTCTTTCCTCTGAAGACTTAGAAATGTCAACCCCATTTTCGTGCCCAAATGAATCAGAAACCACAGATAAAGGTGATTCTTGATCACAGCTGGTATACAGCAGAGGAGTGGGGGTTACTTTCATTGTCCGGGACAATGTCATTAGATTAATAGGCATGTGTCAAATACACACACAAAAAGACCCAAAAAAAAGTTATTTAAGAATGCACACTATACTTAAAAATCAGAATCGGACAGTCCACACTTCGGAGTAAAAAGGTTTTGAAAATAGCCCCCTGTGATGCCTCTTTAGTGATTCCTATTTCCAGTAACCCAATAAACTTTTTCAGCTTCCACTGTGGCTTTTAGAGTGCTGAGCAATCCAATCTTTAGTAACACCTAAAGTTTTTCAATCTTTCATAGATTTATAATGTATGTTTGATCTTTTCAAACACCAGTCACTTTGTTTATCTTTTTTTATTTTTTTTCTGGAAACAACAGGTTTTAACTCTCTTGGGCTATAATGAATGTTGTTTAAAACGTAAAAAATATTTTTTTATTATTTTTGTTCACAGAGTAGTTATTTTATACTGTCCCTTCAACAATTCTTTTTTAGTCTGGACCAGATTCCTTCATGCTGTCATGCTATTTTTATTTGGTCATCATTAGTGATAGTGGTAGTAATGTGATATCTCCTTAAACTTTGTTGCATTAAATCCCCAGGAGATTTTGATATTGGGAAGATTTAGACGGTTGGATTGGGTACAAACAAAACAATACTTATGGTAAAGTTTTGACTAATGACATCTATTAAAAGAAATCATAGAGGAAATGCATTCTAATTATTGCATGAAATGCCCAATCAAAAGGTCTTTATTTGTGTTACTTTAAATAAAATTGCCAAAATAACAGAGTTAAATTTTTGTTAATGAAAGTAGCAATAAATAATTGTGTTTATTTAAAAGTGTTGTACATTCAGTCATTAAACTTAAAATTTGACTTTGTACCTCTTTTCTATTTAAAGGGATAATTTGGCTGTTTTAAAAGTTGGTCTCTGTAAAGAAGTTATAAGCTGTCACTGCCTGTCAGTATCTTACCTGCTGTAGACAATGGTGAGAGTGAAGTCAATTTGAATTTTTTTTTAATAGAAGAGTGAAACTAAATGTTTATCAGTCTGGTGCCCTTTATAGAGCTGATTTCATTCAATTCAGCACTTAGTTGTAAACATTTACACAGATTCACTTTGCACTGAAATGGTTTGCACTCAAGACTGTTTGTGGTGGAGCATGGTTCTTTGGTCTCTTGTAATATATTCCATAGCAAACATCCATCATCTTTACCTGCTTGTTCCATTTGGGTCACAGGGGTCGCCGGTGCCCATGTCCAGCAATCACTGTGCGAGGGGCGGGGTACACCCTGGACGGGTCGCAAGTCCATCACAGGGTCACATAGAGACAAACGAGACAAACAACCATTCACTCTCTCACTCACACCTAGGGACAATTTAGAGTTACCAATCAGCCTAACATGCATGTTTTTGGTCTGTGGGAGGAAACCAGAGAACCCGGAGAAAACCCACGCATGCACAGAGAGAACATGCAAACTCCACCCAGAAAGGCCCCTGGACAGGGGTTTGAACCAAGGACCTGCTTGCTGAGAGGCAGCAGCTCTACAAGTTGCGTCACCTTGCTGCCTGCCATAGCAAACATATTTACACACACAAAATAAAACATTTATAATATGAGAAGAGTACTTAGTTTAACTATCTGAGATAAAATAATCACATGAATCAATGTAAAATGTATCAAATTTAAGTTGTTATTGATGGCAAAAATTTAAAATAGGCCTCAGACTGAATAACATTTACTATCACACATTTATGAATATTTTTCCCTGATCCTTAAGATTGAAATCCACTAACTACCATCTAGTGCAGGCAAAATGCTGACCGATTATAGTTCTAAATACCGGGTACTCATTTCAACAAATAAATGATTGTTACATAATTCAATCATCAATTGAATCAATCATTCAGTCACAATTACATGATTGTTATTGTTATTTTGATTTTTAATTTGATTTTTTTTAGTAGAGCTAGAATCATTACTTACTGTATTTTATGTCTTGCAGACTACCACTTCACAACAAAAGAAATCATGCGGGAGGGCATTGACAAAGGGGAGTTCATTGAGAATGCTGAGTTTTCTGGCAACATGTATGGGACAAGGTAAAAAAACACACACAATAAATAAAAAACTGAACATTTGTATAACCTTATTGAAGATAATCAGACTCAGTGTGCATATTTTAATTCATCCATCCATCTTCTATCGATTATCTGTAATCGAGTCACAGAGGCAACAGGTCAAGTAGAGAAACCCACACATCCCTCTCCCCAGCAACACTTTTCAGTTTGTTCTGGGGGACCTTGAGGCACTCCCAGTCCAAAAAATATACAATATCCCTCCAGAAACTTCTGGGTCTTCCCTGGGCCCTCCTACTACTGGGATGTGCCTGGAAAACCTCTAAACGGAGGTGTCCAGGAGGCATTCTAATCAGATGCCTGAACAACCTCAATTGACTCCTTTCAATGCAGAGGAGCAGCAGCTCTACTCTGAGCTCAACCCGGAGGACTGAGCTCCTCACCCCATCTTTACTTCTTAGCATGGCCATCCTGCGAAGGAAGCCCATTTCGGCTGCTTGTATCTGGGATCTTGTTCTTTTGGTCATGATCCAAACCTCATGACCATAAGTGGGGGTTAGAACGTAGACAGACCAGTAAATTGAGTGCTTTGGCTTTTGACTCAGCTCTCTCTTTACCACTACAGGTCAAAATCATGCCCTCATTACTGAGGATGAGGCATATATCCATCGATCCAGCTCCTGCTCCATTATATCATCACTTGTGAAAAAGATGTCCAGATAGTAAAACTCCTCCACCTGAGACAAACTCTCTCCCCCAATCCAGAGGGGGCATTCCACCCATTTCCAGTCAAGAACCATGGCCTCAGACTTTGAGGAACTGACTCTCATCCCAGCTATTTCACACTCGGCTACAAACTGCCCCAGTGCACACTGAAGATCTTGGCCTGATGATTCAATTCAGTTTATTTATAAAGCGCCAAATCACAACAAAATTGTCTCAGGGCACTTTACAGAAACATTCACATACATAAAAGCCAATTAGTAAAGTTCTCTATCTAAGGATGACAACAGAACCACATCATCTGTCTGAAGCAGCGATGAGACCCTGAGGTGCCCAAACCAGAAAACCTCCTCTCCATGACTGCATTTCGAGATCCTGTCCATGAACACCACAAACAAGATTGGAGACAAGGGCCAGCCATGGTGGAGTTAAACCTGCACTGGGAACGTGCTTGACTTTGTGTCAAAATGCAAACATAGCTCCAGTTATCTATCTGGATGAATGAACTTATAAACCATTTTAGGGCCTGATTTGGTTTTACAGGGACTGGATAGCTCTTAAAAGTAACCCAGGCATCCTATATTCCTGCAGCACCCCCCACAGAATGCCTTGAGGAGCACGGTCATAAAACACAGGTCCACAAAACACATGTAGACTGGAGAGGCAAATTCCCATGACCCCCTTAGCAACCCTGCAAGGGTGAAGATCTGGTCCACTATTCCATGAACAGGATGAAAGCCACACTGCTCCTTCTGAATCCGAGGTTTGACACATGGTCGGAGTCCCCCTTCCAACACCCTAGAGTAAACTGTCCGAGAGAGGGCAAGAAGTATGATTCCACGATAATTGTAATACAAAATAGGAACATCACCCCAGTCTGCCACTTCACAGGCATTGTCCCAGTTCATGCAAGATTGAAGAGACATGTCATCCATGACAGCTTCACATCCAGAACCTTCAGTATCTTTGGGCAAATCTCACCCACCCCTGGTGCCCTGCCACCAAGGAGCTTTTTTAACACCTTTGTGACCTCTGCCATGATAATGGACTCATCTCTCCCCAAGTCCTCAGACTCTGCCTCTAGAAAGGGGGACATAGTGGGTGGATTAAGGAGATCCTTGAAGCGCTCCTTCTATTGCTCAACACTATCCACAGTCCAGGTCAGCAACCCACCGCCCAAACCAAGAACCACCAGGGAATGGGGCCACTTTTCTTTTCTGAGTTGCCAAACACTTTGCCACAACCTCTTCAAGGCCAACTGAAGTCCTCCATGGCCTCCCCAAATTCCTCCCATGCCCAAGTTTTTTCATCCGCAATCACTTAAGCTGCAGTCCTTCTGTCCACCCTGTACCTGCCAACTGCTTTAGGAATCCTTCAGGACAGCCAACTCCTGAAGGCCTCCTTCTTCAGCATGCCAGCCTCCATCATTGCTGGTGTCTACCAGTGTGTCCTTTGGTTGCTGCCATGACAGACACCAATATCCTTAAGGCCACAGCTCCTGGAAGCCGCATGTGCAATAGAGGCCCTGAACATGGCCCATTCAGATTCCACCTGACCACCACTGGGATATGTGAAAAACTCTACTGGAGGTGTAAGTTGAAGATCGTATGGACAGGGGACTCTACCATATCATACCATACAATACCACTTTATTTATAGAGCACTTAAAACAGCGACAAGGCCAACCAAAGTGCTGTACAGACAGAACAACAGGTAACACACAAAGCAAAATACAAAATGAAGTAAATCAGAAATATAGACATAAAAACGATGCAGATAATGATGACAAAACAATGTGGAGTGTACAGGTTCAAAACACAGATCCTCTGGTGTTGAATGCTACTGAATAGTAGTGAGTTTTTAAACGGGACTTGAAAACCGAGAGGGAGGGGGA